TGTATTTCATTTTATTAAGATATACATGATTGAAAGAACAACTATTGTGAAAATAATAAGAAATACTGTGATACCTATTACTGTTCTCCCAGTAACCTGCTGTGAAGTTCTGTACCAATTTCACTACACTGTCTCAGTTGGCTTTATTCTGCCTTGTTCTGTTGTATTCTACTACCTTCAAAATAAAAATTAAAAAAAAGAAAACTAAGTATTACAAGAAAATTGTCTCCTACTATTTGAGTACATTTGAAAATTGTTTTGACACAGATCAGAGAAATTATGCAGTGGAAAATAATAATGAAGGAAAATTTCCCCTAAACCCATGCAAAAGCAAGCTTGTTAGAAAGTAACCACTGAGACCAACTTTCTGTTACAACAAACTTCATATCAAGAAATTTGTAGAAGAATTATTCCTCTCAGTATGTAATAAATGCAGAAAGGTCCTCACTAAAGTTACCTCTTTGTTTTGTAGTAGAAAAATCTTCCTGAGTGAATTTGTATGAATTAACTCAAAGTGACAGGGCCATGGATGTAGCTCAGCGATAGCACTTGCCTGGTAAGTGCAAGGGTCTGAGTTTGATTCTGATATCAAAAAAAGAAAAAAGAAAGAAACCCCAGCAAACTGACCAATTACATTGACAGAAGTTAAAATTCTCAAGTCACTCAAAAATTGTGCAGACAAAACCTATAATACTATAAATATAATAAAGTTTTGATCAATGAATCATTTTATTATATCCAAGATAAATCATACATAAGGAAAACACTTGCATTAGACACCCAGGTCTACTGTAACAAATCAACACAAATTAGGTGTCTTGAAACAATAGATATTTGTATTCTCACAAGTTAGAAGGCACCTTGTCCAAAGTTCAGATGTTTTGGAGCAGTGGAGTAGGTTGCAAAAGACTGAAGAAAATTCGGGATATAGATTGAGAGAAATAAGACTAAGATTTACCAACAGGCATTAAAAGATAAGTAAAGGGTTAATTTCAGCTTACTAGTGAGAGAAGGTCCACAAGATGTGGGTATTGTTTCAAAAGCACTACTTGGTTGGTTCACAGGGGGCCACGTACATGGCTTGGCAAATTCCACGGTGTGTGTGTGTGTGTGTGTGTGTGTGTGTGTGTGTGCAGGAAGTACACAGCCACAGGACTGCAGGGTAAATCCCATAGGGCTGCATACTTAGTAAGAATAATACTTTGCAAAATCCATGCGGAACACATACCTGACAGTGCTACTTACCTGGTTTTTGGTAGCCTGTTAATATGAATCACTTGTTAGCAAAAGACTTTATAGATTAAGCTACATAGCAGTGACATCACTAAGGGTTTGTTTTTGCTTTTGTTTCTGGATTTTATGTAATTTTATGAACTAAAATTCCAAGAAATGACTGACTTAGCACATAGAAACAAGGCAATTCTTACAGATAACAATAGTTTTCCTAGTGTTCTTTAGATACACTGATTCAGATTTTCTTGTGTCATAGTACTTAAAATGTCTCTTTGATTTGCCAAGAGTCTTGGTAATGTTAAAGGGGCATTTCAGGGACATGATGTCAAATCCCTAGTTTTTCTCAGGGATGATAACCTCTACCATCAGGTGCCTAAATGTTCTTATCATCTTATCATGCCCATCTTTTAGTAATGACTCTCAGGCAGCTCATCAACATGTACATTGAAACCAAACCCTCTATAACAGTACAAAGAGCAAGAAATCATAAGGAGCCCTGTTTCAACAGTATGTAAATCAAACAACAGTATGTAAATCAAACACAACTTTATGTAGCAGGAGGCAAGTACACCAACTGTAAATAAGATCAACCTTAAGTTTCATTCTGCTAATAATGTGGGTCTTAACTTGAGTAAAGCTAATGATACATTGTAAGAATTATCAAGAATGAATGCAGTATTTTGTTTCATGAGGCACAAGTACCTCATTATTTTTTATCTAGTGACCCTAGAGGGTCAAACACAATTCATTGCACTAAATGCTTAGCTATATTTAGATATTTTTGTATTAAGTGAAAGAATGATATAGTGTTTGATGTCTTCAAAAGAAAGTAAATTAAATTAAAGTCCATATAGCAATCTGTGTTATGAGCAGTGTGTGTTGATCCAGTTTAATAGTTGGTTTTCTTGCATCAATGAAGTCAGTTGTATATTTCACAAGCAAATAGTACAGGAAGACCAGTGTAATTCATTGTGCATACTTAATTTATTTTTTTTGGATTATCATAATATACACAGGTTTGTATTGTCCTTGTGTTGTTAATGGGAACATCTTAAGCTCTGAATGTTTTAATGGTAGTTCTCTTAAGTTAAGTTTAAATGGATGCATGAGCATCTTATGATTTTGATCATCTTTTCTGATAATTTAGTCAAGCATATATATATATATATATATATATGTATATATATATATATGCCTTATATAAGGCATATATATATATGCCTTTTATAAGCTCTTGGTTTTAATTTTTGGTAAGGATGGTGCAAATAAACCCATCTCAATTTTGACAGCTCTAATGTTTTCTTTATATTCCCTATAGTCTTTTTTTGTTGTATTCTGGTTTGAACCCAGACATTTTGCACTAATTTCCATCCTCAACACTTTTATTTTTTAATAAATGATAATTGCATGTTAAGATAAAAATTATTACACTGTTTTCCCAAATTGTTGTATAATTTTTCAGTCCCACTAATAGTCACTGATAATGCTATTCTAATGACAGAATAGTGGCCTCTAATTGTTCTTCTAATTTATTTTCTTAATGACTTGTGATGTTAAACTAAATCTTTTCATCTGAATAATTTCGAAGTGACTGTCTTTCACACATTTGTTAATTGTTTTCTACATTCTTGACATTTTAACACATATAATATCTGTCATGTCGGCTAGCTAAATATCCATATTTTGTTTATATAAGACTTGTCATTGGGAATTTTGATGAATGTAAAATTTAGAAAGTACACGTAACTTAATTTTTATCTAAATTGCCTGCTCTTGTCGCCCACTTTTTTTAAGTCACACTCCAAATAATTCTAATATCAAAATATAAACACTGAAATACTCAATGATAATATATAATTTATATTTAATTTTATAATGTTTTCCTGAGTTATTCATTTGAAAAATTGAATGACATAGTTCTATTACCTATGTAAGATATACCAGGTAGTATTTTTATTTGATTTTTTAAAAAGAGTAGTAAATGTACATACTTTTCATGGCAGTAATTCATAACTATAATAAGTAATTTAACTTGTCTTGTATAACATTTGAATTTTTTTATTTGGACCACAAACATAACATGCACCCAGGAAATATAATACTGGTGCTTCTTAAAGCAAAACTAAAACTCTTTCTTAAAGGCTGAGCAGCACACAATTGTAAAAACCTGAGTCCATATGAAGTGCTTTTTTGGTCTTCTAAAAGATCAGGAATAAGACTTATACTTTTAGATATCAACCTTCAAATAATTATTTGGAAATTTTTATTGTATTTTTTAAACTTGAAAAATTACATTTTGACAGTTGAAAATGTGTCACTTGACTTTCAAATTTTAGGAACAATATTTTCCACAATTAATAACTGAAAACATTTTATTATGATAAAATACACACAGCATAAACCCCAACCATTTGGAGCATTCTTGAGTGTAGAGTAGAGTGCCATTCATACTGTGTTACAACCATCATCATTGTATATCTCTAGCACTTTCTCTTTTTCCTGAACGGAAACTGTGTCCATCAAACAAGAACTCCCCAGTGTCCTCTTCGCTGACTGTCTGGAATATCATTCTATTTTCTATCTCTATCATTTGGACTACTTGTAAATTTATCTCTTATAAAAGGATTCTTCCAAAATTTTTTCTGTTCTGAATTACTTATTTCAATATTGTAGCTTCAGGGATCATCTATATAGTACTACATGCCAGAATGTTCTTTCATAGTTAAGGTTAAACAGTATTCCAGTGTGTTTCAGAGTTACATTTTGCTTATACATTCTTATGATTATAGACACTGGGTTGTTTCTAGGTTTGACACTTGCAAAACATGGTATTATGAACATGGGTATACTAAGGAATAGTTCCTTGTATGAAGTTATTTTGGTGTGTGTATTTTCTAATCATATGATTATATTTGTTAATACACAGTTACATTTCTAGTTTGACAAATTACAAATAAATAAGGCAATTAACATTAAAGAATGACCTAACCTTTCTCATATTGGTAAATAATGTAGGTTAACTGAGGCCATGAAAATGAGACCCATCTCACAGGTTTCATTTTATTGATCCAGTGAAAAATATGAAACCCATGTTATATCTCAGAGAGGCATGTGGTCTAATTTTCTGTTATGTACTTGCCATACATAAGTATAACACAAAGAACTCCATGTGTTCATTTAAACCAAAGAGCATTACTTACATTCTGTGATTAGGTATATGTCTTAGCTACTTTTCTCTTGTTGCTGAGACAAAATACACAACACCCAAAATTAAAGGGTAAAAGATTTTTTTTAGCTCAGTTGATAGAGTTTTTAGTCCCTGATCATCTGGCTCCAAGACAGGGTTGCACATGGTAAGAGTACAACAGTTCATGGCAGCTGAAAATAGCAAGGCAATAAGGGAGGGAGGAGAGAGAGAGAGCGAGAGAGATAGAGAGAGAAAGAGAGAGAGAGAGAGAGAGAGAGAGAGAGAGAGAGGGAGAGAAAGCAACTTTCTTTCTCTAACATTTTCTCCAGTCTACCAGGATCAGGATGGTGCGAATACAATCAGTGGAATGATTCAGAAATCATCAACCCTTAATCCCAGCAGCCTTAGTCCCAGTACTGCACTACAAATCAATCGCACACTCTACATTCAGCCACCTTCAAAAAAGGTCTATGATTGCATGAGGTTTGGGGGGACATCCGAACACAAACCATAACAGTACACTGAAGCAAGTACATTTGTTTATTTTGAGGATATTTACCCATCACTGATAACCACGTATTTATTTTCTTCCACACATGAGTCTCAAAATATTAATGATACGTTTTTCAGTAGTAATGAATACTAAAGGACTGACTGTGGCATAGCCATGGACCACAAAAATTTGAATACAATATATTACTGGATTATTATTCAACACAATTCTTGAGTGAGACATAATGTCCAAACTGGTCATAACTACAAAGAGACACATAAGCAGCAGAATGGTCCAAGTGGCCCTTTGTTCTGGGGATGCTTTTGGAGAAACTTTGTTCCTGTGAAGATGCTGGGACTGTTTTTTATGCCTCCACAAGAGAATCACTATGTATCCACCTGAGAGGGACACAATTCCTATAAAGAACATATCTCTGATGGTCAATAATGTGAAAACTATGTGCCAGAGTAAATAGTTCATGGGTAAAAGAGAACAGGACTTACTGACATACAAAATATTTTCTGAAGTTAAATTGGTACTAGCAGTGATGGAGATAAAAAGGTGACTGCTAATGGATATATATAACAGCCAAAAGAAAAGAAGGGAACACAGGCTGTGACATGAGGATTGGTGTTTTAACTTTGCCAAACAAGAGCTTCTGGGGCTGAGCGTGATAGCCTGAAGGACACTCAGATGGCAGGTGATACACATGGAGAGCCCCCTCATCGACCTGTTCAAGTAGATAACTGATTTACATGTAATATCATTCCAAAACCCCCCTTGAGAGGTAAAAATGTCTCCAGTTATGAATCCTGTGGTTAGCATCGTCATTAGGTGGTTTAGGGCCAAGAGGCCAATAGGCAGGTCAGTGAGTCTGGGCCTGTGCCCTACAACAAACACAACGATGTGGAAGAGAAGAAGGATGACATTGCCTGAGACCCCAATGATAAACTGAAAATAAAATGTGATTGTGATGTTAATATTATTGGACAATTCCTTGTTCACATTCATTTTACATGGAAAGATGCATACAATGAATGTCTGAAGAGAAAAGCAAAAATACTTTATTACAGGTAGAAACTCCTTCATCAATATCAGCTGACACTGATGTCATCACAAAAATGAGTACATTTTTCTTGGTGCATCCCTATTCCACTTAAAATCTCACTTCTCCCTCATAGCATCTGAAAGCCATTCAACTCTCTCTGTCTCAACATTTCCCGTCATGCCTAGATCATGCAAGTCATTGCAAGGCTTTCGTATTGACCCTCCCACCGGTTGGTCGTACCCAGAGTTGCTTTATTTCAGTGTTATATTTATTCTTGTTTCTTTGCCAATCCAAGTATTCTTAATATATGGACAGAACAAAGGTTGGTAAGTATTAACTCTGCAGTCAGACTTGTTGATTTTATAACTGTGTTCCTTTTTTTCACTCTGAGTCTGAAATTTAATCATCTGATATATACAATAAGACTACCTATATCTTGGATGTTTTATGCATGACTGGAACTTAAGTATATGTACCAAATGTGGAAGCATTCTGGCATATGATGATGTTTCCCAAAAGGTTCGCTATCAGCCTGCAGTTATTCATATATGTTACTGGGTAGATTTTTTGCAGTTCCTTCAGTAATTGATGAGCTAAGTTCTTACCTGGAACAAAGAAATACAAAAATTTCCAGAATAGTACAAAATTTGAGTAATACTTCTCCAGATAACTCTGATGGAATTTTAGGACTTTTGTTTGAATTCTCCACAGTAATTATACATTTGACACATTTTTATTATCATGATAGAATAGCCTATGTCAGATGAGTTCAAATATTAGCAAGAGTATAGTTCAATATTTTTCTATTCAGGAATTTCAAATAAAAGCAATAAATATAATCATGAACAAAAATGCATTATGTTTATTCTATTTTAAAATTTTAATTAAAAGATGAGTACCCAAAGTAATCCTGAAAGATAGATTATGTAGGACTCTGAGCTTTCATTTCTCCTTCACATAAGCAGCGACACTTCTCCAGATTTACTATTCTCAAGCCTAAAACCGATCCAAGAAAATTTTAAAAGTGATGCACTGGCTGGATAATTCTTCTGAAATATGCTTTTATTACTTTAATTCAATTTTCACACATGAATTTTACTTAGTATTATAAAAATCTTTCCAGTCATATAATAAAAAAGTATTATAATCGGAAAGTCAAAGATGTAAGGCTTAATTATATTAAAGCTATTAAACCATGTGATTCTGTAATGTAAGATGCTAAGGGGAAGCAGCAATGTTAAAAATCAATAAAAATGTGATAGCATTTAAACATTCAAAGATGAGGAAAATAGTGCTTAAAACATTTGAAAAAATAGCTCTTCTGGAAAAACTTCTATACCGTTATGAGAACAGTTAAATTTCATGTGATTAAGTGACTGTATTCTGGACACTAATGCAATCTTTGTTAAGTAAGTATTTCTCTTCCTCATGAATTTTTGTATAAAATATGGGCTTGTTTTCCTTCTTAGCTTCAATGTATACAAGTCAATGAAGAGAGAAAAAGAAAAGGATATAAGTTCAATTTTAGCAAAGTAATGATCAGTAAAAGAATTTACTTTAATACAGTCAAAATGTTTTGGTTTGTCTCATAATAATATCAGAAGAAAACAGTAAATTATTAATCAACGTTCTACTTGTCTGCAACTTTTTGTAACACACATGATCACTAACCTGCAGCCCTAAATATTATTCTATGACTTTTGTGAACTTGTAACAGTAATGTCGGTTTTTGTGTATTTATTTCATATAGGATAAAACATACACTAATAAATTTTTAAATAATAACTATAAATAGGTATATTATCATTTAAGAACGAACACTGAAGAATTAGTCAAAAATTATTTTTTCCTGTTATTTCTGTAAAATACAAGTTTTGAGTTCATTTTGTTTAATTCAATTGCAATATGTGAGTCTTATAAACACACAGCAGTATAAACTGTCCAAGTCACATGTTTTGGTCATATCTATATCTGGGTACTGTACTATAAAATTTTCAGCATGACTTCAAATAGTGAAATTCTGCAAACCTAGGTGCTTTAGTAAAGTCAAGAGTATAAGATGCTATGAATGCGTAACAATACTAAGTAAATAACAGCTTCAGTAGATCATTAATTTTAAACTACAGGGAAACCTTATCTTCCTGAAAATAAGATTCCTTAGGAGAAACAGAAAAAAATAGCTTCCTTTAGGCAGAATATACTTCAAGGAGAATGGGAAGATTTCATATAATGATACGCACTACCTACCTTCCTCAAAGCTGTGCCTAGAGACATCACAGAAAATATTCCTCTAATCATCCTACTAACTATTGTCTCATATTCAGCTATATAAAACATACAAACAAATGCATATAGTTTAAATTATTTACATATTACATAGTAAGTTCCACAAAGAAAGTTATATAGGTCTTTCTGGGCTAATGGATCTTTTAAACAGGTAGTATTCTGGTGAATGTAAATGTCTCATAAAAATAAGTTCAAAAAAAAGAAAAAAAAAGTAAGTTCAAGGAGATCCTGTAGCATGACTTTTACTATCCGTGTCTCATCATGCTCAACACTATCATCTAGGACACTGATAGCAAACCTATAGCATATGTGTCAAAGTGGGCTGTTGTTATCATTGAAAGCTCTGAAAAGATCACCATCATTGGCCTGAGAGAGCAGGAGACAGAACAAATGTTCTTTACTTGGCAGAAATATGGCTTTTAGGAGTGAGTATGCTGAGATGGGACTTGGATGGACTAACCTAGCAAACTGGAAAAGGCCTCCTTGAGGGGCGCTTGACTTTTTGTACATAAGGAGTGAAATATAACATGATGTCTGAAGTAAGTCCCATGCAGAGGGGCCATGTTGAAGAAAAGAGGAAAAGCTAAGTGGGAAATGAGAAGGCAAACAAACACATGGAGCATAAATTCTCAAGGAGAAATCTAAATACTCACTTATTAGAGGTGATAGTGGAGGCTGGCGTCTTTTCAAGGAAAAGATAACAGTCAAGAATTTTTATTATGTGGAGTAAGGAAACAATTACATTGAAATCTGTATCATCCTGTATTTCACCTAATGAGGCACAATCTTGTGACACAGATTATTACCAAATTGGCTTCCTAACTATGAACTAATGTTCAGGCCAGTGCTCAGGATCTTGTGGTTTGGATGAATGTGGAGAATGGAGAGGAAGGAAAAAAATGCCTATGTAGAGCCCACTTTTATGGGGTGCTTGTGGCCAGTGGGTGGACTCTTTTCAGGGTGAAGGATAAAAGGTTTAATTTGTTTTGTCTTGTGATCCACAAGGTAACTATTTCCATCACTTAGCACTGAACTGATGTAAAAAATAACACAATTTATTTCCAGCTTTTGATGTAGAGTGCCGGACCCTCTGGGGAATGAGAAGAATTTGTGTCAGGCAAGTGGATTTGAAACTGATGGGAAAGTGTGAAGTACACTGTGTCCTGTAGTACAATTTTGAATGGAAAACTATACAAAGCACTAGGGAGAAGTGGCCAATTTGTGAATGAAGTTGAAAATAGCACCATACTCATGCTGGGAGCTCCTTGCACGGTTGCTCCAAAATGTATGCTCTCCAGGACTATGAACAAGAAAAACCTGGAGAGTATTCGGGTAAGTGAAGTGAACCTCTATATCTGAGAAACATGGTAAAATTTTTTCTTTTTTCTGTTTAGTAAATTAAAAGGATGTAAGTTCAGCTCTTGTTTCACACCTGCAGCTATAATATTTACATCACCAATATTCAAAATAAATTATCAGGAAAGCACAGTGATCTTTTAAAATAAAGAGAGGAAGCCCAGAGGTGCTTCTGCTTAGATACTGAGTTGTCATTACTAGGAAACGTAAATGAACCTGCAGGAGAATCTGATATTCTGATTAACCCATCAATGAAATAAGTCAAGACTAATTCCTGACAAACATCTTGATTTTTTTCCCTCACCATATTCTTTGTAACTTAGTCCCAAGAAATGTAGTCAGGATAGTAATTGTCTGTTCATGTTAAGTGCATTAAAAGACACAGTCTGAGTGTAAAGTACAAAAAAGGATATACTTTGTGAGTAGACTGAATTTTAATCACTGAAGCCAGGGAAAGATGCATTTCAGCTGCCCAGATACTTCTAAACAAAATGAGTTTCAAGAATATCTGTTAGTAAATGCATGGGAAGGTATATTTTAGAAGTAGTAACACGAAGAGAAAGTATTAATCAACACAAATACTTTATCTGCCCAGATACTGACAATTGTACTCTTAGTTCTGTGAGAGCCTAAAATTGGGAAAGAAACATAATCTTATTATTAAAACTTTTAATAGCAAATAGCAAATAGCAGCTTTATCATCTCATTTCTCACATCAGATATGACCCACTTGGCAGAACACAGGATGAAAGTAAAAACCATTAGTTTACAATTGTGAAATTAAGTAAGAACAGAAAATAAGCTGGAAGAAAATTTGCCAGTAGGTGTTTTGTTACAATGTGAGGTTGCTCTCACTGAGATTAAATGTTTAAGTAGAATTTTATTTCATTCTAAATATTCTGTAACTGCTTTTTGAATTCTGAAAAACATAAAAGTAACTTACATCAATAGCAATTATATTTTCTGAAGGTGACAGAAAAAACATTAGTATATTGAATAACAGTATAAAGTTCAAAATTATCATTTCCCTTATTGTTAGGAATAAGAAGTGTATAAAATCTCTAGGAAACATTCTGTATGTATCCTGAATATTGATACAGCTAGTCAGTGAATTTCACTGAATTGAGATGAACAAATGCAAAGTTAAAATAAATTGATATTTCCTTACAAAAAATTGGCTCATTTTATGACTCAGAAATTAAACAACTGTATATGTAGAGAACGAAATTTATCAGTACACTATACACAAAATAACTTTCTTGACTCAATAGCACCATTACAGCTGGAAGTTTCCTCTAAAGCAACAAAATACCTTCTCAATAGAGCCAATATTTTTCTCTCACAGGCTGCCTAAACCTCATCTGCTAATTGATTCTATATCTGTGGATATAGAGACACTTACCAGATGGACACGTTGTGGGAGGACTCACTATACCTGAGAAGAACCTGCACAATTTTACAGAAAGGATATTTAAATCCTTTCTGCAGGCCTGTATTT